GAAACGACTATGTCAAAATTAACCTATTTGACCGTGATTTAATAGTAATACACGTTTCAAAATAATAATAATAATAATGCCGAAGTAACAACATACTGAAAACTGTTAGTAAAAACCATGTTTTAATGCTTTACAATTTACATACCTAGATGCACGTGTGTTGTGTTTATGCAGTGCAACTCCCACCCAGTGGGTGGCTATGTAGAGTGATAGAACAGAGCAGGCACGCCCCCGAGAGAAGGAAAGCAAGTCACGTCACAAATTAGCATTTCTAAAATGTTAGCGTGGATTAATAAAAGTGCAAAAAGACAGCGGTTGTCGCCGGAAGAAACTTCAAATACAGAGAATGCTGTGCCTGTGTTGAAAATTGTGTCTGATGGGGAGCTTTCTTTGGTTGATCCTCCTGCTCCAAGTTCTAGTGCATTAGCATTAGCACTAGCTCCGCCGCCTCCTCCAGAGCCTCTAACGTTAGCTGCTGCTGGCGCAACTGCCACCACCAACACCAGGCAAAGCGATGCACCTGACTGCTGGACAACGGACCAGGTGCAATATTTTTGCAAGACCAATGCATGGCTCCTTCTTAAAGATAAGAAGCTAGGATGTCGGATATGCAGAGATGTCAAATCTTTGGGAATACACACTGGACAAGGACTGAAACTGTCAACTGAATGGGGTGAGTGTGCAGTGTCTCATTTCGGTGTTGACAAGGGCAAACAACAAGCTAGCCTGAGAAAAAAAATCAAAGAACATAAAGAATCACAAGCCCATGTAAAAGCTGCTGACATCCTTACATCTGCTTCACGTGAAACTATTCAACATCAAGTGCAGTCTATGCATACATCTGAATTAGACACCACTATCAGAATTTTTCGAACGGCATATAAAATTGGCAAACATAGCCGGCCATTCACAGACATGCCAATTGATTTGAATGTACAGAAACTGAATGGGCTGAACGTGGGCAGGGTTTTGCACTCCAATAAAACCTGTGGCGAAATCATCGACCACATAGCTCATGAGCTGAAGAAAAAAATGGCAAAAGACATGACTGAAAACCAAAGAAAACTCTGTGTTTTGGTCGATGAATCTACCACTATTAGTGGTAAAACGGTGCTTGTTGTGTGTCTACGCTCAGCATTAGCTGATGCTGAGCCCGAAACGTTTTTTTGGGAGCTGATCGAGTTGGATGGAACAACGGCTGATGACATCACAAAGGCGTTAATGGAGTGTCTTGGAAGAGATTTTAACGAGGACTTTTTAGGTCAGTGTTTCGTTTCTTTTGCATGTGATGGGGCTTCAGTCATGCTAGGGAAGAGAACAGGCGTTGCTACCCAGTTGTGTAGTAAATTCCCAAGCCTGTTTGTGTGGCACTGCTCCAATCATCGTCTAGAGCTGGCAGTTGGGGATGAGGTCAAGGAGGTCTCAGGGCTCAATCATTTCCAGATCTTTTTTGACAAACTCTATTCCTTGTTCCATGCCTCCCCCAAAAATCAGAGGCAGTTAGCGCAGTGTGCGCAAGCAGTCGGACAGCGTCTCCTGGTGATAGGGCGTGTTTTGTCCATCCGCTGGGTGGCTTCAAGTGAAAGGAGCGTCAGAGCAGTCTGGGAAAACTACCGAGTGCTTCATGATCACTTCACAAATGCTGCAAACGACACGAGCAGGGATTCCAGAGACAGAGCAAAGTACAAGGGCCTGGATGATGTGCTCACATCTGCAACGTTTGTCAGCAATCTGGGACTGATGTACGATGCGCTCACAGAGCTCAGCGACCTCTCTCGGCAACTCCAAAAAAGAGAGATGACACTGCCTACAGCAGATAGGCTCTTAACTCGAGAAATACGAGTTTTTGAATCCATGGTCACCATGCCTGGCCCACACATGACTACAGTTCATACAGCTCTAGCTGAGAAGTCCTTCAAGGGTGTTGCCCTGCGTGAGAATGGCAGGCTTGTACAGATTCATGCAGGTCAGTTTTTCCGCAGTATGGTAGAGAATCTGAGACACAGAATGACTTCCACAACCTCCTCTCATGTCAGCACAAGAGAAATCCCATTACATGGCCGGGAGGCCCGGGACAATCAGCTAATCCAGGACATGAAAGTTATCCATCCTGGAAGTTGGCCTGAAGAGGAGTTAGACGTACAGTATGGGGACGTAGAGGTGCTACGTTTGTGCGAAGTGCTGAAAGTGGACAGAAGAGAGACTGTTCAGGGCTTTCGCGAATACAAGGAAACCAGGGCATCCCGTACACCTGCTGCCATGGAGCCTCTACTGAAAGCAGTCCGAACCATCGCTGTCTCCACTAGTGAGTTTGAGCGGGCATTCAGCTGCATGAACGATATCCTTACTGCAAAAAGGAATGCTCTCTCTGTCAGCCGACTGTCCAGCCTGGTTTTCATTAAATGTAATGGACCATCACTAGGACAGTTCAATCCGGAACAGTATGTGAGGTCCTGGCTGGCAAAGGGAAGGAGAAGTGCTGATGAAAGAGCCTGTCCAGCTCCAGCCCCTGATACTGATGTCCCCAAGGCCTTCTGGAGCCTTTTCTAACAATGTGAAGTATATTGCAAAGCAGCTCACCCAGTGAGAAGACTTTTGGCATAATGTGCCGATTTGTACAGATCCTGGAGATAGAAGGACTTCAGACCAACCAGGGAGTTATCTGATCAGCTTGATGTTCAATGTAACTCTTTACCATGGCTCAGACTTTGTTACTTGCAGTTACAGTTTCTCATTTTAGATTGTGCAAATTTTGCATTTGTTTTTACATGTTCTTTGTTCATGCTCTTTATCATTTTTCTGAGTTGGAAAGTTAGATTGCATCATAGTTTACTTTATACATATTTGTATTCTTCAGTGGTGAAGTATATTGCAAAGCAGCTCAGCCATGTGAGAAGACTTTTGGCACTTTTCGTTTTTCGTTTTCTGAGTTGGAAAGTTAGATTGCATTCAAAATGTACAGAAATACTTAATTTTGTTAAAGCTTTTTATAAAAAATGCTTCTGACCAGAGCTTTGTTTCCTTGTCATTAATGTTGAACACCACCAGAGGGGCTCTCACCTGAAAGGTCTCTGCTTCATGTGTCTTCAGCAGAAGATCTAGACTTTGATTGCTATATTTTCAGTTAATATTGACCTTACTGAGCTTTAGCCATATCCGCTGCCTATCATAAAAAATGTTAAGTACAGTGAACCTTTCTAAAATATACAGTAGTAAAGAGACAAACCCACCAGCATTATAGTAGCCAAATTCTTGTTTGTGGGCTGTATATATAAAATTGACTTGAAAAAGTTGCTGATTTTAGAGTACTGGCACCTTTTTCATTCCAATTCAAGCACTGATTGTCATACTGATATTCTGTACACACTGTGAAGTCCACTGAGACAAATGTAACATTTGTGATATTGGGCTATATAAATAAACATTGATTGACTTGGTTTGGGAACCAAAGGGTTGCTGGTTTAACTATGTACAGCAGGGATTGGCAAATGGCGGCCCGCGGGCCGCATGCGGCCCCCACCTCCTCTTTTTGCGGCCCTCAGATTAATTTATAAACAACGTAATTAATAATTTAAAAAAATTCAATTTTTTATTTTTTTTACTTGTAGTACTGACACCGTCCATTAGACTCCTAGTTACGTCGCGAGCTGCGTAGATGATTTCAAATACCGCGAAATAATCTGTGACGCATTTGTGTGTATTGTGTTTGTTTCCCGGGGAAACCCTCACAAGAAACACCGGCTGTCGTTATGCCTGCTGTAACGTTGAGTTGCCGCTTGTAATTATGCCTTTACAAGCTTAAAAGTTGTTTTTATCATCTGAATTTGACGAAACAAGTTTAATATTCTTAAAACCAAGACTTTGTTTATTTGAAAACAGATGAAAACAAACTGTCACGGACCCTGCCGTGTTATCTATGATTACAACGCTTTTCATTCATAATTTCAACGGGAGGGAGGGGGAGTGGTGCTGAGGAACAGCAGAGTGCGGGCTGACAGGTGTCTGTGTTGACATTCCCCTTATTGTGGAATAAGGGCAATGCAGAGACTGGCTACAAGTGTTTTAGGTTCAAGTTAGACAACTAATGTCTGGGTTAGTGTTCATGACTTCGTGTTTATGTCATCTAATGGTTAATCTCAATACACACACATTTTCCGTGCTTTCCAATAGTTTAAAATAGTTTTATTCCACTGTTCAATACAAACATGCCACTTGTAAAAATGAAATAAAATGTCTGTGAACTGATATTTGTTTAGTGAGCTTATTAGAGGATGTTCCCATTTTTTGGGGATGTTCCCTTTGATTGTAAAATGTCAATGAAGATGTCAGACTTAGTATATTTGTTAATAATTACATACAACACATGGAATTGTTGTGTGTGTGTGTTCCAAGTGAATCTGCGGCCCCCTGGTGGCCAGTACATCAATGATGTGGCCCCCACCACCATCAAAGTTGCCCATCCCTGATGTACAGTATAAGTATGAACTTATATGGAAAGAAAACAAGAGGTCATGATGTCAAAACTGCGTGTGTAGTAAATACAAATATGACGTTCTGTGCTACCAAACTTTCTATGGAAGGGTAAATGGACTGTATGTATATAGCACTTTATCCATTCTTTATGACCCCTCAAAGCACTTTACATTCTACCAGTAATCATGCACCCATTCACACCCCCAGAGCAATGTGTCATATGCTCAAACAAGCTTACATTCACACCGTCAGGAGCAACACGGGGTCAAGTATCTTCCCAAGGATACATCGACTGCAACGGCTGGGATTGAACCCACAACCTTCCAATTGAAGGATGACCACAGTCCCTAGCAGCCACAGTCGCCCGAACACAGAAACATTTTCACAATTCTTATGATGTCCAGGTATTTTGTAAAACAATAACTGTAAAATATAATAATGGATTATTAATAAAAGTAACTTCACCTTGTAGGTTGTCCTCTTTGACTCTACAGGGATTTTTCTTTTAATAAACAACAGATTCAAACTCAGGACAAATACTTTATTTAATAAAGTGAACATTTAAATTGTGAGAACAGCTTTTTCCTCCTCCTGCTGCTGCTCTGTTGGTTTCTGTAAAAGGTCTTCACTCCTAAACCACAGAGCTTCACTGGTTTTACTGGCGATGATCGCCCGCTCGATGAAAGGTCCTGAGGGGAGGAAAAAGAAGAGGAAGAAGAGTGCCATCATTAGTTTGGGGGAAAGGTCGGTGTATGAAAAAAACATTTTTGAGAATAGATTAAAACTATTTTCAAAATGCTGGAAGACATCAATAACACTATTAAAAAATACAAATCAGACTGAAATAAAAAAAGAAAGGAACTTGAAATAATTCACTGATGTTTGGTTCTGCAAAGCCCACCAACAATATTTTTTAAATGAGTTAAAAATAATTTGAGGCCTCTGTCATTTCCTTTTTGGAGAAATGGATGAATATTTTCACTATAAAATAATATATTATATTTTCAACTTTTCATTAGAGGTTAGTTTGCCAATTTATTTTTCTTCTTTGTGGAAATATATTATCTCAAGATAAATGTATTCGTCACACAAAACATATCTGGAGGTGAATTTTCAAGAACATATTAAATAAGCCCTTGTTTTTATATATCAGGATAAGCATAAGTTTGCATGACATTATAAAAAGTTAGGAAACCGCCTAAAATCTCTCTCACCCACATCCTGTCTCCTTTATTCAAAACCAAAGTCCCTGCAGTCTTAATTATCCCACATATTTACTTTATTTACCTTCTTATGAAGTTATTTGAGCATTGTTTCCCCTGCGTTTAATTTTTCCTGTGGCCAGGTCTTTATTTATCAGCATATGGTTGTGCTTTTTGTCATGAATAATCCTCTTTAGCCTCGCTCTTTTCTGGGTTTTAAGAATTTCTCATTAAAGTTTCCCCTTGTTTCTCCCCACGCTGCAGCCATTGTGCAAAGGACTCTTTAAAAGACATTAATGGAAATAAACTAAAACGTAAGTAGCAACATCTTCTGATCCTTGACCACTGGGTGCAGAGGAAATTCAATTCTGACCAGAGTCCTTGTGCCTGTTGGGTCATTGAACTGCTGAACAGAGTAAAGAGGACTCTTTGCTGGCTCTGCTCGATGGCAAAAGCTGGATAATGAAAACTGCAAAGCTTGACGAGTCCCTGAGAGACGCTCACTGTGCAGCTCTGAGGCTTCAGCAGAGCGGTAACATTTCCAGGGTGGCAGGGATGAGGCCCACGGGAATCAACCCGGATAAAAAAGGGACAATCTCTAGTTGACTGTGAGCACTTCAAACACAAGCTGCAGGTGGCTTTCTTTGGTCTCAAGTGAGAAGTGTAATTACTTTTATTTTAAGTTTTTATCTGCGGTCACCTTTGACTTCTTTGTTTGGCAAGTCAGCATGGAATCTCAAAAATGGAAAATATTTTTTAAAGAAGCCCTATTATGCTTTTTGGGGTTTTCCCTTTTATTTCCTGTAGTGTGTTATATAGTTTTTGGGGCATGTAAATGGTCTGCAAAGGCTAACATCCCAAAGTTCCTCCAGAGATAGTTTCTCTCTTTGAGCAAAAAAAGCCATTATTCAGTGGCTGGGTGAAAAGACAAATGCTTGAGTGTCAATATAGTCCTCATTATACAAGATTGTTAAACACCTGAACTTTTGAAAGAACATCCATAACATTCATCTGTTTGCAACTCATATACATCAATATTCCAATTTCTGTATATAGACTATTCTGCACTGTTTCTATTATATTCTATTTGATTTACCTGTTTTGTTGTGTTGCACTGTTGGAGGAGCCTGAGACCTAAGATTGTCATTGTCATAACTACACTGTTGCTATGCACACATGACAATAAAAGCCTTGAAACAATAGAGATTCAAAATTAAAGCAAAATCAAAAAGTTGTTGAAATGAGAACTTCCAGGTCACAAAGGGCCAGCAGTTTTAAATTGTCCTCAATCAGTATTTTTGAAAGCTTTGCAGTTTACTTACACTGTTAATGACTTTTTATTTAGTGAGCTCAGAATCAATTATTATGTAGATCATTTAAGCCTCTCTCTCTAATGGGGACTCATTAGCTGATGATTACACTGAGCATCTTATTATCGAAGTGAAAAGCAAAGCGAATGTGCAGGAGATCACAAATAAATTAACTTCATCATACAGAGAATACTGTCACTGAAGAGCACCGAGTGCATCATCAAAGGTCATTTTCACTCAATAATTGTAATAGAGTCATTCATTAGAGGTATAAATAAACACATATCTTTTTTAAGTTTTAGAGGCCTTTCACAATGAGTTTGGGCTGATCTGAGTGCCAATCTGTTCCAGGCAGGATGTGGTGCATTTTGTAAAAGCAAACAAAACAACCGGATGATTTTATAACAGCAGAATTTAGCATTTCAAAGCTAAACGAGTAATAAGTCCATCTGCGGATTGGAAAGTCATTAAAAAGTGTGCAACAGCAACCACATTGTAATAAGTAGCCACCATTTTGGTACCGTTTCTAGAGGTCATTAAACATAACATGTGATTGATTTGCAGTCTATTTATAATGCTAATAATGAGTTATTTCTTCATAAACATAAGAAGCATTAAAGTGCTGCCTTAAAGGTGGGGTAGGTAATTTTGGAGAAACCAGCTCGAGTGCGCTAGAATTAGAAAATATACAGCCGGAAAAAATCTGCCACTTCCTCACAGAGCCCCTCCTCCAACACACACGAACGCGCACATGACCAATGAGGGCACGAGATAAGTTTGTGCACAGATGGAAAGCTGACAGGCAGGTAGGCCATCCAGTTACTTTAGCCGGGCCGGCTCAGATGATTGGTCGTGCTTTTTACAGTACCACGGCTTCCACAGATGACATTTTTTTATGGGTTTGTTGTCAAAGCACTTAAGATATTAATTGCTATCGGGATGTTAAGAGCATGGAATATAACAAAAAGTGTATCAAGCCGGTTTCTCAAACTTACCTACCCCACCTTTAACTTCCGTCAGTTACAGAATTTCCGCTATATGGGTCCAAGTTACTTGTCTGAGAAACATAACTACTCTCTGTTGGTTTCTAAAAATTCAGTGTGAATAAAAACCAAACCAGAAACTCCATCTGGAGGATACTTTGGGATTTTAGCCTTGGCACAACACTAAAGGAAAGGGACAACCTCAAAAGCATAATAGGGCATCTTTAAAACACTTGATTAAGAAAATGCAAGTCTGGAGGAATCCCAAAGAAAGACAGGCGGCATATCACATCTCCATCAGCTTTTCTCTTCAACAACCAAATACAAATCAATCAACAATGAGTCATTTTAGCCTGAAGAGCTGTCAAAATTGCATAAGAATTCCTCAGCTGCTGGTGATAGAAGGAAAGCAGACCTTTTATGTTTTATTGGCGTTTTTTTGTGAACTTACCCATATCAGCTGGTCGTTGGGAGCAGACATCCAACAGGACAGTTTCCAGGTTGGCTAAGATTTGTTCTTCGGTCATGTCAAGCTGTGCAGAGGAGAGGTTAATGAATTTAATAGATTTTAATTTTTGACCTTTCCATGTTCCTTTTCAAAAAATGCTGAATGGTTTTGAGATATCCGCATTTCAATGTCACAGAGATGGTACGAAACACATTTATAGAAAAAAACAATTCATTCACTTGCCGTTTTAAAATATTTTTTAATATCAGGCTATATTTAAAATAAAGCCCTTTGTAAGCTTAAAAGTAGAGGCGCAGACAAACAAAGGGACAGAAACAGCTGGTTTGAAAATGTGATTTTATAGCTAAAAACACCTAAACAAGTCTCGAACGATTTTATGTTCCTGTTCAGAATAAAATGTATGCATATTTAAATCAGGATTTCTTTCTCGACGTTGCTCCCTTAAACATGCAAGATTTAAGATGTAATCTGCCTTTTGTCTGAACACCGAGTGTCCTCTTTTTGGGGGGTTGTTGGCAGATAAATGTACATACCATCGCTATCTGGGTCCTGACGTAGCAGTCATTCTCCACCATGTACTCATGACCTGTTTTAAAACATTTCCAGCATTTTGAGAATGTTGATGCCGACTGCGCCTGTGTGTCAACAGAGAGAGGGGCCATGAATATATTAGGACTTTAGACATTATGTTGTCAGCTTTATCTTAAAAGCAGGTTTCAAATCCTAAGACCTCACACACACACACACACACACACACACACACACACACACACACACACACACACACACACACCACACACACACACACACACACACACACACACACACACACACACACACACACACACACACACACACACACACACACCACACACACACACACACACACACACACACACACACACACACACCACACACACACACACACACACACACACACACACACACATCACTAACCAGAGAGAGGTACACACACACACACACACACACACACACACACACACACACACCTTACCTCTCTTTCTCTTTGTAAACTTCTTCCTCAGTTTGTTTTCAGCGGTACGATCTTCCTGCAGCATATCTGGCACCGTTATGTAGAAGTCTGCTGAAATCTCATCATCTAAGATCTGAAAAATAAATCAATTTGATAGTATTAAACCGTAAAAAGATTAAAAAGTTTCATTTAAATTAATTTAAATGTTCATATTTTTATTGTGTGCTTCTACTGTGACATGTCTAAATGCATTAATGTTCAAAAAGCTCTTTATGTTTCTCATACTGCCTGTGCTGCTGCACCTCTTTTCACCCTCTGTCTGAAACCAGAGCCCAGTCTGCTCTGATTGGTTAGCTGGCTAGCTCTGTTGTGATTGGTCAAATGCTTCGATATGTCCCGCCCCTTAGACTATCATGTACAATGTGTTGTAGCGCTAGCCAATTGAAGCACAAGTGTTCAATATTGATGTCAATATGTTACTGAAGTAGTCCAATGGAAGCGTTTCAGGCAGGGGGAGTGTGTGGGAGAGAAACTTTGGGATTTTAGCATTTGCAGATAATTCACGAGCACAGAAACCTATATATCACACTACAGGAAAGGGAAAACCCCAAAAAGCATAAAGGGCCTCTTTAATTCCACTCACCGGCTGTATGAGCTCCACTCCTCCAGCGAACACTGCTCCGCTCTCCAGGGCAAATTGAGCTTGATTAGCGTCCTGCAGGGAAAACAGGTGCAGTGTTATCCATTTAAATCCAATTGGGGTGTGCCAGTCTGGCAGACGCCACCAGTGTCATTCATTATGGTCGTTAACATGCAACAAATAAGTTACAACCCACAACCTGTGCTGCTCCACAGGAATATAAATCAAACCCTGCTTGTAGGTCTCTGTGATCAAAACACCCGAGCCCATTCATTACAGACAGACAGGACGACAAATAAAAAGCTGCTGCACATCGGCATCATGTTGAGACAATATTAAAGCAATTCATCAACAGCAAGCAATCAATAGGCTATGAAATTAAGATTCAGTAAGGCTGAAGGGGAAGAAAATAAAAGTCTTACTGCGGTGAAAACTAAAACTTTGTTCATCTCTGTCTTGAAGGGGTGCGGTAGGTGCACCGTGCTGACGAAGGCATCTACTTTTTTCTGTGAGGAGAGAAAGAAAGATTAAATGATCACTGTTTTAAATGTTCAAATGGAGAGCTGTCAATCATAGAACAAAGAAGTAAAGTCCACATGCAGAGGAACACTTGTTATGCGTAGTTCTGCAGCAACAGACAGATGACAGCAAGGCTGTCGGAAAGAATATGTCTGGTGCTCTGTCTGCAGTCCTGGTGCACAAAGTGGTTAACTAAGAGCTTTTCATTCTTTTGTTTGGGTCACACTGTTTTTGCTGATTAACCAAAATTGCTAATACTGCAGCCTGATTAAGTAAATACTGAGATTTGTGGAAGCCAAACATGTCGGCCTTCCTGCTCTATTTTACGGCTCAAGCAACGTGGTTAAAATAAAGCAGCTCTGGACTTCTGGAATACAATGGTATTGCACATTTGACCAAGTCAATTTATGTGGAAAGTCAGCTTTGTGTGCATTCAACAGCAGACTCCGCCATGGTAAAGTGGCGACTCATCTTTGATCAAATATATCCATTGGAAGATCTACTGTTATTGTTAATTAAAGTGTATTCATGTATTTGGGTTTGAATTTGCACGAACATTGGCCTTATAACCTGGATTTACTTATTTGTATTTTTGCCTTGTTATCACCCCATTGACATAAGATTAGATCAAGTAAGATAACCGTTTTCACTTTGAGAGGGCCTACAGTTTAACAGAAACACAAACCAAAATAATAAATTCCTCTAAACAAAAGATTTGTATGACCTCATGAAGGGAGGATTTACTGGATAAGCAGAAAGGGGATCAGGCACCCCAAAACCAACAAGCTACCATATTAGACAGCCTTTATTGTAGTGGTTTAATCGATTAAAAGCAAAATATGTTTTGACATCTGTTGGTCCCATCAGGTCTTAATCCAAACAAGACTGTCAGTCTACTAATAAACGGCAAAGTGGGTGTATGTGAGTGAGTGCCTACCCAATTAATCAGCCAGGCTCCAGTTATAATCTAAAGCTAAGCAAATGTCTACAAATTGGAACCCAATGCTAAGAAAATATGACCACCTGCAGGTAGCTCTGGACCTGATGTTAAAAATTGTTTAGCTATTTAAAGGATTTACTCGGCACTTCCTTTTATACAATCTGAAAACTCTCTCTCTAAAAAGTGACCAGCTTGAAGACCAATCAGAACTGTTGTTGTGAAACATAATAAGATGGACTACAAGGTAATGGTGTGGTGAAAATGACACTTGCGGGGCTTGCTGTTCCGCCCTGTGGGGCTCGAGGAGCGGACAGTGTGAGCTGGTGTCGTTTCCTGGTTGCTGCGTGGGGTCTGCGAGACAGCTCAGCCTGAGCACACACACACTCACAGCCTGAGCTCCGAGTGTGTGTGTGTACGGAGCTCCACGCAGCACCGCGGCTGAGAGAAGATAAGGCTGAGTAAGTGTGTGTGCCGAGCTCCGCGGATTGGTCCATTTGGACTTTGTTACGTCAATATGCCCAGGAAGAAAAAAATGGAAAAAGAGAAATGTCCAACGAGGCGTTCTGGGGCAGCATCGACAGGTCTTTTCTGTGTTAGAGTTTTACTCGCTACAGGGTGTACTTTGAGGGTTTGTGACTCTGCAGACCGTTTACATGCAGAAAGACCTTCATAACACACAAGGGGACGGGTAATAATCAGAAAAGCATGACATGGGACCTTTAATAAAAACTGCAATACATAGGGGAGGTGCATCCGAATATTAGTTCTGAAAAAATAATGGTTACACAAACAACTTCCTACCTAGTAAAGGCACATTTTCCCTCCAAAAATCGAACTTTTATCCGGCATTACATTAACTCAGCTTGTGCAATGGACACAGCTTCAGTGCCGTTACCTTTTTCTCCAGCTTCATGTTGAGCCTCAGATCGACGAAGATAGGCTGTTTGAGGGGGGTGAAGTCCAACCTCTGAAAGGTCTTCAGCATGTCGACGGACTCAGCTGCTCCGTAGTTGGTCCGCGGGTAGAACCTGGGAACGTACACGTCATCCACAGGCGCCCACCCTGTGAAGCCGTAGGGCTTCTGGCTGTCCGAGTCATCGATGACCCTCCTTTCTTTCTTCACTTCCTTCTCTTTGTCCTCTTTTTGGTTTTTCCTCTGTGGCCTAATAAACAACAAGGAAGATGTTGGACTGAGTAGGTCACACATGGCAGCTTATCTGCTGAGTGCACAACATACTGGTTCTAGTGGGTATACATTCATCTGTAGATTAATATACTAAGAGCTGATTTTCTTAAACTAAAGTTTGAAAACTCACTTGACAGCTGCAAAAGTCCTGACAGGCAGATTTCTCGGAGCGGTCGGTGATATGCCTGTGAAGGCCGGACCTCCGGCTCTCAGCAGCTGCCTCTGACATCCTGCAAAAACTGGATGAAGGGAAAAAAGCTGCTAAAGAATAGAAGCATACAGACACAGGGTGCAGATGACAAACTCAATGTAACACACTTAGATGCTGTGGGTAAGCAAATTAAACTGAATACCAGAGGTCAAATGTTTCTCTGTGATATAATAAAATATGTTTCAATGATAAGGAAAAAAACGTAATACCACCAGAAAAGTATCTATGTGAATCTGAAGCAGAATGCATTACATGTAAACATTGGATAAATGTGCCATTATATGCCTTTGAATGAGATATTTGATTATTATATAATGACATTAGGACAGAAAGCTCACTCATATGCAAGATAAAAATGTGCTTTGCAAATTTCACCTAGTCTGTTCACTGGCACTAGTTATGTCAAGGGGCTGCCATCAAAACCACTTTCCTCAAATCTCACCGTCTATGTGAGAGTATAAATACTTCTGTTAATTACAAGCAATACATCTGAGGTACTGCCTGGTTGTATGCCGTTAAATGCTGTATCGTGATGCTGCGGTTGTTGCTTTGTATGTAGCCCCTTCACTAACAAGTGAATTAATATACATAGCATCGTTTTTTCCCTCTAGGTTGATTTCAGACATCTGACAGTTATACATGCACTTGATAATAAGCACATACACACAGTGGCGACTGGTCATTAGGGGCACAGCCACACCTAGTGTCAGCAGAAAGTATTACAAATAATAATTACAAAAGAATGCAAAATAAATACATCTAAAAATATATTTTACGATCATGTTTAATCATCTGATTCATCTGTGTTCTTCTAATTAGTGTCTACAGTGTGCCTATTGAGCCGTTTTGAAAAAAAGAAAATCGCCATAGGGCAGTGGTTCTCTCACTTTTTCAGTCATTCCCCGCTTTGAACAGGTGAGCCTTTTCAAACCCCACCTGTTCCTCATCACTCCAATAAAATGGTAGGCCAAGCTTAAAATGGTCAAATGTATCGTTCTATAACAGGGGTCTCCAACCTTTTAGGATGAGAGCTACTAAAAATAAAACAAGTTGTGAGCTACTTTTTTTTGTTTTTTGCAGTGTATATATTTAGCACATTTTAACATTATGACATGCTTACCTTTAACCTTTGTGTGCTGTTTGGGTCTGTGGGACCCGTTTTTAGTGTTTACTAAAAGAAAAATGTATGTAGTTTAATTATTTTAACCTGCTTTATTTGGGGGTGGACCTCACTTGCTCTAGGGGGGTCCGGGGGGATGTACCCCCGGGACGTTTTTTTTTTTTAAATGTTGAAGTTAAATGCATCAATCTGGTGCACTTGTGAATGTATGGATACAGCTCTCAACACTCAGATGAAAGGGAGCTGTATACTTTTCAATAATCCAAACATCTTTAGAATATGATCACAACCAATAACAAATAATTTAAAGTTGTTTATTCTTATCTTATCTAGTTAGCATTCTTTTCTTTTATTTTAGCATATTTTACTGATCACTCCCCTTTTAAACTGTTTTTTT